GCAGCAGCTTCATTGAAGCTGGATGATAAAAGGAGGAGACGGGGATGGTGAAAGGCTACAACACTTTCATGTAGAACTGAGGAGTCATCAAGCTGCGTCATGCAGTCTTGAGTCAGTATTTTCAAAGTTGGAATGACATCTGACGGGGCAGGAAAGAAAACCTTTCGTCCCTGCAGTTGTTTCTTGAAGGGAAGTGCTGGACAACTTGGGTGTTTGAAAGCACTCTTTAAAAACCTACAACTGCTGAAAATACAGCAGAATAAATCGGTTAATATTATTAATGACAAAACATTATGGGGACCAATTAAAGTAATATGCAGCTCTATGATTTTCTTCTTCTCTTCTCTGTGGTAGCTTTGCATGATTTGACCATGTTAAATATGAGCATCCATGACTGTAGCAGCATTTAATGACAGAAAAAAAACAAAACAAAACATTACAGACCATTTTAAAGTCATATAAGCATCTTAAGCTTGATGGTTTTCCGTTTAGGTTAATTAATTGAATGCCCCTAAGCCTCTTAACAAAGAGCAGTTTGTTAAGAGGCTTAGTGGTTTTATGAAAATATACTTTATTTTTATTTATATAGTTTATTAACTCACTGACTGCCAGTCACACTAGATAAAAAATAGGATGGTGTTTGGTGGTGATGGTGGTTTCCCAATGATTGCACTGAATTTCTTTTCATTTGGCAACTGTTTGCAGTTGCAAATTAGAGGAACTAATTGCAAGGAGATTACAACTGTCCAACTCAGCAGAGCCGCTTCTAAAAAAACTGCAGATTCAGGGATCAGTTCCAACAACGTTATTCTATCAAGGTGTGGAAGAAGACCCAAACTGTCACCCTGTCACTAAGGCTCAAACCTGCCATGAACTGGAACCTGCTGGAACACTGACATCACTCTCCACAATGAAGTAAGCTTTAAATTTCCATGAACTGAGAGAGGAATAAAGACGAGGCTTTCAAACCCACAGTAAGTAACAATGAATCTAACAAATGAAAGTGATCACTTGTACTGATGCTCTGATGCTTACAGAGTAATTCAGCATTTTTCAGCTCATTTTTCCAGCCCACATCTTACTGATGTGGTCCAGAAACAACTGGAAAAATACATCTGAGTTCCTATATTGCAGAAAAGTCTCCTGGAAAGGTTGACGGACGATTTCCCTCGCAGACAGTGCTGTTTTATTTTCATATCAGCGTGTTCTTTTTTAAAAAAAGAAAGTCAAAAACAAACAAAAAATGAAACATGTCAGCTTCCTTTCATACATACATGACGTGCTCATATTCATAAGGGTTCACAGAGCTCCTGCTACTTTGCTTGACACAACACTATGAGCAACCTGCCGGCAGAACAGTGGGTGGTAAAAGATATGAGAGAGATCAGACAAGAACGGTGAAGGTTTTATTCAACAGCTGCCAGCCAGAAGAAAGTTGTGAGGCTGTGTAAAATGTAAATACAAACAGAAGGCAGTGATTTGCAAATGATTTAAATTCTAGAATTCTTTAAAAATGAACTCTAGACCTAAAAAAAAAACCAAAACAGCATTTCAAAGATGTTTTTCTTTCTTATAAAAAACATGTGCTCATTTTGAACTTGTGATGATCATGAAAATGGGGAAAGGAGTCGATTTCTCAGTGTGCTGCATCACCTCTTCTTTTAAGATGTCTATGCTGTTAAACTGAATTTAATACATAGTTCAGTAGCTGTCTATCTGGGAACTGAGGACTTCAGCTCCTGTGAGTGTGTCTTTCACACTACTAAATAAATGATTTCAGCTGCTCAACAGTTCGAGTCTTCCATTGTGATAGCTTTTGTTTCAAAATGCACCAACTGTGGGCGGTGTGCGACATGTCATAGGCTTCTGTAAGGGCCAATGCTGTGAAATACTTGCAGAATGTGGTTCAGCAATGTTCTAATAAAGAGAAGCAAATAATAGAAATAAGAAGGATGCAAAACAGACACTGTCTGGATGGCAGTAAACTAAAAACTGTATATATCGTTCAGCATTAATGATGCCTTCACGTATTTGTGACAGATGCTTCTGAACTGTGTTTATAGCACATCAGATGGTTTTTCTCTTCTTTTTGCTAGTGTGCTCCTCTTTAGATGATCAAGGCATAGACGCCATTGACTGTCCCTCAAGTTCTGTAGACATGAAGTATACAGACAACCTCTGGGATGTCAAGCATTGGTGCAAGGGACGCTGCCAAATAGTGCCACGGACTCTCCTCTGCCCCCGACCCCTCCCTGAGGTTTCTTCCTGTTAGCAAGCACTGTCGCCAAGTGCTTGCTCAAAGAGGGCCGTTTGATTGTTACCTCACAGGTAAAGACTGTGATTTGGTACTAAAAATATAACATAATTGAATTATGTGAGCTCTCAGGAGCTCACTGATCCGCTGATCCGGGTCTGTGAAAAGATCCTCCAGGATACCATCCACTGTCTCAACAGTCACATCCAAGAAGTGACAATGATCATAAAGGAAAACTAGAGAAAAATCAGTCATAAGGGCATCACAATCAATCACATTGCACTGCAAAACCATTCACTTTTTGGGGGTTGCCTTGTTGTTTAACTTGTTATCATGTTGACTTGCACCAAGACAGGCAGTCGTTTCTGTTTTCTAACTGGATAGATTGATATCCCTGACGTCTTACTGGCTTTATAGTGTGTCCATGCAGTTCTGTCACAGAGTAATGACGGATGCTCATTTCATCTGCAATAATGTTACTTATTAACCTATTTAGTCTTTTGCTGTTCCTACTCCAGCTTTTGTTTGAGATATGCTGCTGGCATCAAATTAAAATGGCAAAAATACAAAAAAACAAACAAAAAACCCAATTACTCAGTTTTAAATTTTCCCTTTTTTATTCTGTTTTTAAATACGTTAACTTCTGTTTTAATAAATTAGACTTTCTATTTTATTTTCCTGACAGCACAGTCGCAGATTGTTATAAATGGAGTGAAATCCTAAATGTTATCTTGATTGGCTGACCTCTCATTATACGGTATAAAATTTGTTCGGGAGACACATCTGAGTGTAGGTGACAGTTGTTGCATTTGTGGGTGACATTTTCCTCCAATTATCTGCTGCTGCTGTGAAAAAGCTTTTGGTCTGGCTCAGCGTCTGTTTTTCAAATCCTCCGACAAACTGGTGTTAATTCAGATCAGTCTGGATTTGTCCTGAGAGTCCATGAAAAGGGATTTTAGCACTGATATATGGGTGTGATAGAGAGCGCACACACACATACACACTCAGACTACTGATTAAATAACCTTTTGGTGACCGTATCTTTAGTGTTTTTCCACGGTAGCAGGGTTGACGGTGGTTAATGGAGGGTCTGTATGTCCCAGATCTCTAATTAACCTGCACGTCTGTCGTGTCTTCAATTAGCAGACTGAGCCACAGTGCCTCACTGTACTGTCATGGCATACTAATTGATCACAAAAAACTGAAAACCTCTTCCTCTAGGGGCTGGAAGTAACACTGAGCACAAATTGGAAGCAGCAGTGATGCATTTTTCTATTTTGTGACAAATATTACTTGGATGGCGTATATATTTGCACACGAGATTGATCTGAGAGCTGCCTTTAGAGTCACAATGCAGATTCAAGTTAATAAAAAAATACTGACAAAGATATTGGTTGTTCCACATGGAGGAGATTGGCAACTTATAAGCACCATTTCCACTGATTAATGTGATTGTTTTTACTTGTATTAACATTATCTGAATCTGTTAATTGATTAACAACATGGTTAACAGCATCCATCAGATATATTGTCTTTGACACGGATAATATTGGGTTTATATACCTCGTGGTTATAAACCAGATTAAAAAAGAAAAACAGTGAATCCCTACATTTGACAAGCTTAACCTAGTTAATTTTAACCAATTTGTACAGATAATTATTCTGTTTGGTGACAAAATGATATAAACTTCTCTTAGATCTAGTCTATCATGGAAAATAAAATAGTAGAAAAGAAAAATAATGCATGCACTACTTTTTAAAAATGAAATCCATGTAATGCTGCAGAGAGCAGATGAACAGCACACGGAGTCCGGCACAATAAAAAATGCTTCCATAGCACCAAATCACAACAACACGGGCCTTAAAACACTTTAAATTGTAAGATGATGAAGGCATGGACAACGTTATGCTGCCTGTAAAATCATTTAGCATGACCGGTTTGGTGGTGGGTCACCAGAGCGTACAGGGCGCAGAGGGTAATTAACACCACACAAAAAATAATTTCAGCAAAATAGACGAACCTGCTACATCATGGTTTTTTTGCAGTGTTATTTTGGTAATTCATCCCATTGTGTGTCTCCTGTGTTTTAACTTCTCTTTGTCGTCCTTCTGATTTCCTGATTGTTTCCAAATATGTGTCATTCTTCAATCATATCTAATCTTGTTCACTTTTCTTTTCCCCCTGTTTGTTTCCAGCGTGTCAGCATCTCCCTTTCTGGGCTTCTCGTGCCCCTTTAGATTCTTGGTTTGTTTGTTTTTTTCCCCCTTTTTTGTATTTCATGTGCTTTCTGGAGCCAGTTAATGCCTGCTTTTCATTATTTAAACCTGCCTGTCAGTCCTGGATCTGGGTCTTCTCACCATCTGAGAAAATGGCCCCAAGAGTGCAATTATATGCAAATCAGTAACGTTAGACTTCGTGCTTTCCGTCATCATAATTTCTCTGAAAGGAGGACTTATTTAGGCTATGTGTGCCTAATAAATTGCTAAATGTCAAACCGCTGTTGAACTCTAAGTACTGTAGACACGCATCAGTTTAAATGGGTTGTTTTCTACTGACAGACACAAGTAAGATGAAGTCATTTCCTCCCTAGTCTGACTTGTGTGTGTGTGTTTGTGTTTGTGTGTGTGTGTGTGTGTGTGTGTGTGTGTGTGTGTGTGTGTGT